AGACCAACATGTTGATGCTAGAGATTCACGAATAAAAAGGGATAATACTGATGTTAATAAACTGGTTGATTGGTATACTCTTCATAATCCCTTTCCAAATACGAATCAGTTGGTATCCTTAGCTTCAGGAATCGTTGGAAATGACCAAATTAATTGTCACAGAGCCCATGAACTCGGATTGCAATCTATGGAAAAGATAATTGGTTTGAACTTTAATGAGATAAAGTTAAAACGCGTCGATAAGGTTTTGCCGCTTTCAGCCGTTAACAAATCTGTCAATATTAATGATTGTAAAGTCTCTGTAGATCCGTTGTTACTTTTCCAGAGAATAACTGTAAGCAAAAAATTTGAAAATAATCTACAAGAATATCTTCAATATGAACTAAGCCCGTATCCGACATCTTTATTTGATAGTAATGGCATGAGAAAAACCACGAAAGCGACGTTATATGACAATATGCTACCTGTCGATATCGAGCTTGATGAAAATAATGTAACATACATCATCGACGGTGGATTTCTTCTGCATCGCGTCGTATGGAGCAAAGACGATACTTTCTCCATTATTTTAGATAAATACATTCAATATTTACAAACACATTATGGTTCAGAAATTGTTGTTGTATTTGACGGATATTCGGACAATAGTAAAAATATTAAAGCAATGGAACAACAAAGAAGAACTGCTGCACTTTCTAAATCGTATGAAGTTTGTTTTGACGAAACAATGATTGTGCCAATCAGCCAAGAAAAATTTTTATCAAATCGGTCTAATAAAACAAAATTTATCTACATGCTTGTCGAAAAATTAAAAACTATTAATATCACAACAAAACAAGCCAGAGATGATGCTGATGTTCTCATCATCGAGACAGCTATTGCATTATCAGAACATCAAAAGACTGCCGTCATCATAGGAGAAGATATTGATTTGCTCGTTATTTTAATTGGGCGTACTCAATCACATCAACAGGAAATTTTCTTTAAAAAAGTTGGGAAAGGCAATGTTAAGACGAAAATATATTCTTCCAAAAGTTTTGATCAATATCCGCGTACTAAAAAACACATTCTATTTTTACACGCATTTAGTGGCTGTGACACGACTTCTGCGCTATTTAAAAAAGGAAAAAAAACTGTTACTAGAGCATTGGAGAAAATTCCCAATTTGGATAAACTGGTGGAAGTATTTCAACAAGAAAACTGCCCGGTACAAACATTATTTGAAAATGGAGTGCGCATCTTGTTGGCATTATATAATGCTCCAAAATCTGAGGACAACATTGATCATTTTCGCTACACGCAATTCATTAAATTAACGAAACTAAATAAACCTGTACAATTGTCAACACTTCCACCAACAAGTGTAGCAGCTCATCAACATATAAATCGCGTCTACTACCAGATTCAAACGTGGTTAGGGAATGACTTAGAACCTCAAGAATGGGGCTGGATGCTTGAAAATGGAATCCTGGAGCCCATAAGAACGTTATTACCTCCAGCACCAACCGAACTACTAAATATAATATTTTGCAATTGCAAAAATGGTTGTGGTTCCCGCTGTGGATGCCGAAAATCAGGGCTACTATGTTCTTTAGCTTGTGGCCAGTGCAATGGACAAGCTTGCCTGAACGCTGCACAATATCCAAGTAATCCCGATGAAGAAAACGCATACGATCCTGAAATTCTGGAGGGTTTGGAGATGAATATGACCGATAATGAGGATGATGATAATGAATTGAACGTTTTCGAGCGACAACAAGAAGAAGACGACGAAGAAGATGAAGATAACTAGCTTCTATTCACAATTTTATTATAATTAAAACCAATAAAAATTCTTATAATATTTAAACTGACATTTCAACAAATGTATAGTATGGCATATTTAATGATAAATAAAGATATGCATAAAATAGATCCCCTTATTGTCTTTTTAACTGAAAATATATATTCCAGAATTAATAATATACTATAGTTGAATAGTTAAATATAAATAATTAAGTTACTGATTTTAATAAAATATCAACAATTAATAATTAGTACATAAATAATGGGCATTGTTTAATAATTATAATAATTTAATAAATAATAGACTTTATATAACGTACTGATAACCGTAACTCACGCTTGACCTTGCATTGGACCATATATGACTGTGCGCTGCGCACTCTTCGCGCTCTACCTCAAAAACGGTTGATCGTATCAAAAAAAACATAAAACGAAAATTGTAGAGAATTTTATACTCTACAACTTTTATTATAGGTAAAAATATCATTTAAGCAATAGAAAGCGAGATATTCACAAAAAACCAATTTTTATGACCTTTGACCTTCAATATCTTAAGACGCGGACACGGTATCATTTGTGACTTTTGAGACAACATTTAGCACGACAAAACAAAGGTTTATACCAATTTATAGCTTATTATCTTTCATTCCGAGGTGAAACCCCTAAAATGACTGGGCTAGCGAGGAATTGGATCGCATGGAGCAAATGAAAGTCATACAAAAGGTTACTAAACCAACTGAATGGGTAAATTCAAGAGTCGTCACTGTCAAAAGTTCGTGTCAGTTACAATAAATTATGTAATAAATATATTGTAAGGAGTTTCAAGGCATCGTCATCAGCTACCCTTCGACTGTCTATATAAGGGCAGCGCTTAGTTGAGACTGCCTCGATTAGGAATGTGAAAAATAATCGATTATGGAAATAATCGATTAAAATCGGTTTTTATAAAGTAGATATCGTATTTTCAACGTGATTTTTAAAAAATTTATAATCTATTAATAATCGATTTTTTTATAATCATGCAATAAATGCACCCCGATAATACGTTTGGATATTCTTAACCAATTTAATTTTGTTCCACTGTCAATAACTTCGGCCGCTGATGATTTCGATAATGATGACATTTGGGAAACTCACAACAAGCTGTTGTTGGAGACTATAAGAGCCAGTCGAAGTCACATTCAGACATCAGAATTGAGCTTGTACATAGCTGCACCTCTAATGGGATTAAAAGAAGACGCTTTAAAATCCTGGAAAACCTATGAGCCCGCTTATCCCAAACTCACGAATTTGGCGTGTAAGCACTTATTGGTACCGGCTGAATAAATCAATTGATATAATGCATATGGCGTTTATTTTAAAATTAATTGACAAATTAGGAAAAATACTATTTATATAATATTCAATTTTTTTCTAAAGAAAAACCGATTATTTATTAATCGATTTATCAAACGTAGAAAAACAACCGATTAATTAAAAATCGATTTTTAGAGCCTCGATAGATTCGCCGCGCAGCCAAGGAGGACGGACATCAACCTGCACCTCACCGCTCGGACCGCAATCTACAGAGGAACTCGACCGAAGCTCGGACGCGGCTCGGCACGGCTCGCCCACACTAGTGCGCGCTCGGCCGTTGCCCCGATAACGCGTGGCCCTCTGTCGTGTCCGGACAGGAAGCACTGTAGGAGCGGAATTCTTCCCCCCACCCCCCTCGATACCCGACACCCCGACGTCACCCTCACCGCCGCCACGCGCGACCCGCCCCGGCTGGTCCGCGCCGACTGATGCCATCACACCGGCACCGGAACCAATGGACGAGGGTGTCCCACACCCATCCACCACCGACCGCGACGCGGGTATAGCACACCCGACCACCGCTGGACTTATCGCGGGTATGTCACAACCACCATCCGCGATACCGCGACCGACCACACGACCGCACGGGAATGCGGTACCACCACGGTCTACACCCGCTGCGACCGTCACCTCCCGCGCCCCTGCCGTCACCCCCGCAACACCTGCCGGCAGGACAAGGGTAGAATCACGCCCCGCTACGTCCCGCCGCGACCGCAGAAACCCATGACACCACAACAGGGACCACCGACGGCGCCCACGCGCCCCGGCGCCCCGAGCTGCGCCCCCAAGCACCGCGCCCCTGCACTCAAAAAAATCAAGGCAAGTTAAAATCTTGCTTGATTGAAAAAAATATGACTGAATCATTCACAGGAAGGCTACCGATATTGCGTCACTATGATTGATAGGTTTACGCGATGGCCTGAAGCGATTCCAGTTAGGGACATTACCGCAGACACAGTAGCCAAAGCCATATACGAAGGTTGGGTATGCAGGTTCGGATGCCCCCTGACAATAACGAGTGACCAGGGAAGACAGTTTGAGAGTGAAGTTTTTAAAAGCTTACTAAACATTTTAGGCATAAAAAAGACCCGTACAACGGCATACCACCCACAGGCAAATGGAATCTGCGAGAGAATGTACCGTTCCCTTAAAGTGGCAACTAAGGCTAGATTACGGGATAACAGATCATGGGTCGACGAATTACCTACAGTATTATGACTTCGTGCGGCTTGTAAAAATGACGAAAACGTAAGCTCAGCGGAATTGGTATTAGGACAGACATTACGTTTACCAGGCGATTTTTATTGCGAAACCGAGAAAACCAAAGTAGATCATTTACCTACGTTCGTAAGCAAACTTCGAAATATAATAAATAGTATGCGGCCTCAGTCGAGAGATAACAGCGATTCGCGGAAAATATTTGTCCATAAAGATTTAAATACGTGTTCTCATGTTTTTATAAGAAACGATATGGTAAAAAGCCCGTTAACCCCAGCATACAGCGGCCCTTATAAAATAATAAGTAGGGATAAGAAAACATTTTACATACAAATAGGCGATCGTCAATCAACCGTTTCCATAGACAGATTAAAACCAGCATACATTATTAACGAAGAAAAATTACCAGAAAGTAGCGGTACTAACAATAATCAGCGTGAATCAGATACAAAAGCGAGTGAACAAGAATCGCTACCGCCTATGGTTAAAACCACACGCTGTGGTCGAGTGATTAACAACCGGTGCGATTTTTGCTCACATGACAAATTATTGGAAGTATATGACTGATTAATAGGAATTTTTGTACATTTCACTGCGGTCATTTAGATGGTTTTTGAACAAACTATATAACGAGTTTTAAGATGGGAAATAACCAGAATAGGGAGTACGTAGCCACTGCACAGGCCCAAGTAGTAGCAGGACAACAGTTAGAAAGTAAACTGAACTACTTCGGGATAGTGCTCATTATCATCGCTGCAATGATGGTCATATTGTCATGTTACGCTATCAAGAGAGGTTGCGTAGGCCATGCGAGAGACTGGTTGAGAAGAGAAGTTCCGTTGATATTGTCAGGACAACCAGTGAGCAACCAGGTACCACCCGCGACTGTTTCGGGTTATGTGTAGCAAAGACGGTGTTGTGAAATGTTCAAAAGTTATCTTGTGAAAACAAGTGTTACTAAAATGTCTACTTATAAGTTGTGTCCCTAGAAATGTAAGTTATATTATATGTATTTAGTCAACGGCGTTACCATAACCAATGCTGCCGACCCTCGCGGTGTTATTTAATTATTGCAGAGCGGAGGTTATGGTAACTACCCTTAACGTATATTTTTAATAACATAATAGTATATATATTTTTAATTTGTCAAGGCGGTTCGGAGCTGAGGCAATGAGGAATCCGCGAACATGTTAGAAAGTAAGGAGTACTATAATCTATTTTTAGCTGCAGGGTATAAACAATAGGCAGCATTCAACTGTTGGAATGCTGACAGGTATATAATGTTATTGTAAGCTTAGAGACGTCCGAGCACTGTATTAGTGACGTAAGCATGTGGTTTTAGTGTTAAACATACATAGGTAAATTAAAAAATTTTTTATGTAAACTTTTTTTTTTGAGAAAGGGGGGGTGTGATGTGGCGGCTTAGTAACCGCAAATTGCTGAGTTGCATTATTGTCGAAACCTGGGAGCGCGGGCGCTCGGCTCGCCAGTCGCGTACGTCACACCGCCCTGCTTCGACATCTACATAGTACGTAGTTAGTAATAACTAAGTATTGTGGAACCAAAATTAAAGACATTTATTTCATCAAAATACATTTTCCTTATTCACCAAATAGTACACAAGGACACGCACAACAATGTCAAAAATAACAATTGACCTTTTTTTGTCACAGAAAAGCTAAAATGATTGAACGTCTATCAATTTGAATGTGTTGAATTTAATAAGTTTACTTTATTCCTGTCGAGACTTATTAAGCTCTATCAAGTTACTTTATCGTTATCACTCATTACAATTAGTTAATCTCATAAAGAATTTTTATTAAATAAATAATAAACCTATTTATTTCAATAATTATAAAATAATTGTTACAATAAATTTCATAGTTCATTCGATCACTGCAACTTTATAAGAACGAACGCGTGCTTTTTTAATTGAAAGGTTACTTATTTGTTTGAAATGTCTACCTGCAACTAACTTCGTAAACGACCGACGTTTGGCGCGCGGCGCGCATCGTCATCGTTCAAGTCCCAACATGATTGATTGAATGCATTTTCGATTCGCCCGCACGCTGCACTTATTTACGCAAATTGCTTTAAAAATTAATTGTATCTATGGTTTTAAAATTGGTGCACTATAGTGTTAATGAGAGTGGAACTCTAAATGGAAGATTCTGAGGTGATGGATTTACTGAGAGCCTGGGGGCTCCCGGAGCTGGGGCCACTTTTCGCAAGTAAGTACCTACCTACTTGTTTATTTTTTGTGCCTAGTTCTTTCACACATGAATTGGCTAATTTTCATTTTATTTCTCTAAGCTAATATTACAGAAAATGAAATTAATATAGAATCCCTGTCTGCACTGACAACGGACGATATAAAAGAAATAATTATTCCTTCGCTGTTGGAAAGCTTGGGCAACGGATTTCTCAAATGTTAATCAAGGTTCAACAAGTAACCAGTGTACAAGTCTGGACTTAAGCAATCAATTAACAGACCATTGACAGTGATTAAATTAAAATTTTGTTATTGTTCTTAACCTCTACGATGGTGTAGAATAGAGAACAAAAATTATAATTGCGGCTAAATTGATCAAAATCGACCCTCGAGAATAGGCGCCAAAATGGGACAAAAATAAGTACTATGCATATGTATTGTCAATACTATGAGAAAATTTGATTTTTGTTTTTTTTTGTTTTGTTTCATACAAATAAAACTTTGAAAATTAATAACCCCGAAAATACCAAGTTACCAAGAAAGACCGTCATAAAATAGTTTCTTATAATCGATAGACAAATCTAACACAATATTTAAAATAAAAAAATTATAGTTTTTTTATGATCCTAAGTCCACTACCGGCCCGTTTCAGCCCAACGTGCGCCGTCACGCTCGCGCCTGCTACGCAGGCCCCGCCCACTTCGTAGCACTGCTACCACCCTAATACGTCGTAGCAACTCGTAGCCCTGCTACGACCACTGCTACGCCGTAGCAAATCGGAGCTCTGCTACTATTACTCCGCGCGCCTTTTTCAAGGCGTTAGCGCAGTCCCGTTTCTCATTTTCAATATAAGTCTGCGCTTAACCCCTTCAGGGTAACGTTAAATATCGGAAGGGCGCTGGGACCACAGTTCTGGGGGCTCCCCTAACTGTACCCAGCTGTCTAACCCATTCTCTTCACAGCTCCGCCTTAACGAGTGCGTTAAGGCGCATAGAGACCCCGTTGCACATTAAGACTGGCAACGGGAGTTACAAGCTTAGGGCACACCCTAGGTACACACCTCTCTGCCTACCCCCGGCAGCGAGGCCACACACCTCTGGGTTTATCCCGCCCAGAGGGACAGGAACAAAGGCCCTTCAGGCCATCGGCAGTAGTTCTTCTCGGGTGTCAAACGCTAGGAAAGCGTTTAGGGTGGGCTTTTTTTGAGGAGTGCCGTAGGTGAAGCCCTTTTAAAAAATTCCCCCTCCCCTTTGCTATGTCAAAGGAAGTATTAGAAGGTATCCTGGAGAGCCTGGCTTCTAGGCCAGACCTCCAAGAGACCTTCTTCTCCCGCCTCCAGACATTATTGGGAGACTTGGGTTTATCCCCTAAGCACCAATGTCCTCCCCCCTCCACCACCACCCCCCGCCTAAGAAACGGGATTCCAGGCTTCGGCCTACTTCCGGGTCTCCACCCAGGAGATCAAACCCGAATTCCCCACGGAGCAGATCACGGACCCCACCCGTTTCCGCGACGGCCCCCCCCCCCCCGGTCGAGCACCCCTCCCCTCCAAAAACTCCCCGCCGGTTCTCCTCTCCCCCGAAAAGCCCTCCTACACAGGACCAGGCACCCCCCCTCCCCCATCATCCGATAAACTCTCATCGGATGACCAGGATTTCACACTTGTCCAAGGAAAGAGCAAGAAAAAGCCTTCCTCCTCAGTTCCTGTAACCAAGGCCAAGAAAGGCACAGCCCAACCAGCACCCAGACCCGCCAGCCCTATGACTGTGTGCCCGTCCCCCCCAACCCCCCCATCCACCTCGGCCACCCAGGATTCCCAAGCCCTTTCATCCCTCCCCCAACCCTCTCAAGCCTCCCCTGCCTCTCAGGCCCCCCGAGCCCCCCCGACCTCACAGGACTCTTCGAGCGCCCCAGTGCGCAAACTATCTCTCCCCCCGCCAATCTTCATCCACGATAAAGGGATGTGGACTGACATCTCAAAGGCATGCGCTGAAAAACGTATCACCTACACCCACGCCCGCGCAGTAGAGCAGGGCATCAAAATAGTGGTCCCAACAATAGACGACTTCAGGGCTTTAAACGCCCTCCTGATAGGGAGAAACGTTCCCTATCACTCCTACACTCTCAAGGAAGACCGCCCCGTCCGGGTGGTCTTCAAAAACATCCCAGTGGAAATTTCCGAACAGGAGATTTCCGAAGATCTTCGGAACCAAGGAGTTCCAGTCATCCACGTGCACAGAATGCACAAGAAAGACGGGACCAAATACAACATGGTGGTCGCTTCGTGCGCTCCCACTGATGGTAAGCACCCGGTGTTCAAAATCTCCAGGATTTGTGGGCTCTCCGGCCTCAAGGTGGAGAGACCCCACAAAAACGACAATCTGTCGCAATGCCACAGATGCCAGCTATACGGCCATGCGGCAAAAAATTGCCATGGCAAGCCGCACCTAGTGTCAAGTGCCTAGGCGACCACCCAACGGCGGACTGTCCCCGCCCCAAAGACCGCTCGCTGTGCACAGAAGTAGTATATTATTGGGCATTCTATACCACTATCGGCAAGTCGCTCGGCGAGTGCGCCTCGCTGCCGATAGTGGTATAGAACGCCCAATAATCGATACTCGACTCGACTCTCTACTCGACCGACGATCGTCGGTCGAGTTATTCTCACTTTGGATAGTAGTATATGATTAGGCTTTCTGGATCACTTTTCGCTCGGCGAAACAAGTTCGCCATCGCGGTGGTCCAGAATGCCCAATCGTCAACGGTCGACTCGAACAATGATATAAACGCGAAAGAGCACCTACTAATGAAACGGTCAACTCGGTTTTAGCTAGAGGTATGCGATGCATTTTTGTCATCGATCGGAATGTTATGTATCTCGACTTTTTTCTAACACAATTTACAATCGCTTACAACGCGATGATAGTATAGAACGCAAAGTGTTCAAAAAGGTAAACGATGTTTATCGCTACCTATTTATATCGTAAAACGTACGATCTATTGTTGAACCGTGTTCTTACTCGACAGTGACATAGAATGTGTATGACTATTTATCGTCATAAATACAACTTTGCGATATTTAATTGAGTCTGTATCAGAGGTGTGATATGAAGTATGTGTCGTAATGTGTACCTAGTAATGTGTAGTAGGGAAATAAAAAACATCAATTGAAATAAAACCATATTATTTATTTATCATAAAACATGGGTTTGTTGGGGAACAAAACATCTGCAGAACGGACAAACTCCTGCAGTTTCTGCCACTGAGGAGAGTCTAAGTCGGCCTGGAGTTTGATACGTACGATTGCCTTCTTCCACAGCTCCAGCGAGTCGGTGTTGCGCGCGTCGTTAGCTCGGTACACCTTGCAGTCGATGTAGTACTCGCCATGGGTGCTCGCTATTCGTCGCTCGCACCCGTTAGCCACTCGGTACACGAACAGCGACGACAGGCATGCTCGATCTGTTGATCCCTCTCCGACTTCCGCGCCTGTCTCGTGATCCTGGCTGATACCGAATATATCGCTATCACTCGTAGTTTTTTTACTGAAAAAACAAAACAAACTTTTGTTAATTTACTAATTACAAACCTGAAAATATAGACTAGAATTATTATTGGTATTCATTAGACTTATCGCTTAAATAATAATTCGTTAAGAAATACCTACATAATGCTGCTCTAATTTTGTAAGTAGTAAAAGTAGCGATAACCATCATTAATCTCATGAGACAAACATAATGAAACATGTAAAACAATATGCAATTTACCTGGGACGGGTTGATTTTGATGTGCGTTTTCTATTGTTTTCTGTAGCCTTACGACCAGTTTTCGATTTCGGTTCAATAGTTGGTGGTGTTTGATAGTATGAACCCTCAGAATCGGACCTGAAACAAGATGTTGGTACAACCGTTAATATAAAATAAATTAATAAGTACGCCGGCCGTGGTGCTGGAGATTACAGTCAAACGAGGTTTTGAATATTATATACTTACATTTTTTCCTTGATTTGTTTTAACTTACTCAACTTCAAGTCGATAGCAGAGGTAGCAGGCACGATGATTTTCTTTAACTGCTGTTAGCGACGGCGGTTGACGACACTGACTGTACTGACTGAGTACAACCATTAACCGATCGCGGATCACGAGTGCGACTGAAGCCCGGAGTCGCAAGTTACTATTACTTAGTTCACTTGGAAGAATTGTAATGATCATAATGAATAATGCAGTGACTTATAAGGCTGGAAATGCCTAACATGAAAAGTAACTTAAATTCTTTAAGTTTCAACGTGTTGTGGAACGTTTTTGTTTAGTTGTATTATAGACGGTCAAAAATACAAACTAAGGTAAACTAAAGTAGAATCAATTGCTGATGCATCAAAAACACTTAGGGTTTACACAACGTTTTTTACAATTTTCATACAGCGGTTATTATATAAGCAGCGCAGTGACAGCCCTGTATAAAATAGCTGATTAATGAAGTTGCATCGTTGCATGCACGTGTGCATATTTCGCAATGGTATCGGAAACGCTGAAAGTTGATCTATAGAGTTAGTATTATTACGAAACGTTGACGTTGTGGAATATTCCAGAAACAAAAAAAGTTTTATTTCTGTGGACAAATATTTCTTCTAAATATGTATCATTTCAAGTTGAATACTGAAATCACGAGCATTAAACAGGTAATTATTATTTAAATATTTTATTTTCGATAATAATATTATATTTATCGTCTCGTATATGATACTTATCGTCAATTTGTGATTTAAATTATAATATTTTCAGTTTTTTTTCAGCTACACAAGAATCACAACTTACAATTATATAATTATGATCAGATTGAAGATTTATACGTAAGAAAAATATATCCAGCTACATAATTTAAAACTGATAACTGTGGACATTAAACATCGGGACTTAAACATAAGGATACATAATTCTTAGGTAAATATATTCAGAACCGTTAACTATAAGATTTTGTTAATTTATTAATCCAAGTACATGTCTAATAAATCTTTACATTTGTCTTTCCAGAATATGGATGTATACAATAAGTTCAAAACAGACAAAACCACAAATGAGGAACGGGAGCTACAACTGATCAAGATTTTCATTTATGGTGGTGATTCTAATGCAATTTTGAAGCTGTAAATCTATACGAAAGGTACATAATATATTTATGCAGAATATATTATATTATATACGATTTAATATCGATACTTATGTCTAAACGTTGAAATAACTATTAATCTTTGCCTATCAATACTAAGTGATTTGTGCATTCAATTACAATGCCTTACTGCACAGAGTGTCATGTATCTGTAGATAATCGTCTGTGGTCTGGTCATTTACGAAGTAATAAACATAAAAATAATAGCGTAGCTCCTTTTAGTAGTAATGTAAAAATAATTAAGTCATCATTCAAAGGACGTATTGTAAGTTATAGGATTATTGCAACTGAGGAGTTAGCCCATCAATTCCCAGAGAGATATTTATTACAAATCCGAGAACAAGTCAAAGATCTAATAGACCTGGCACTAAAAAGACATACATCTGTTAAAGTTAACTTTGAACTATTTTTGTATTTTCTATTGTTCAAAAACGATCAGCAAGAAATTAAATCATTTGCTACAAAAAATTTTGTGCGCCTCGCTGCCGATAGTGGTATAGAACGCCCAATAATCGATACTCGACTCGACTCTCTACTCGACCGACGATCGTCGGTCGAGTTATTCTCACTTTGGATAGTAGTATATGATTAGGCTTTCTGGATCACTTTTCGCTCGGCGAAACAAGTTCGCCATCGCGGTGGTCCAGAATGCCCAATCGTCAACGGTCGACTCGAACAATGATATAAACGCGAAAGAGCACCTACTAATGAAACGGTCAACTCGGTTTTAGCTAGAGGTATGCGATGCATTTTTGTCATCGATCGGAATGTTATGTATCTCGACTTTTTTCTAACACAATTTACAATCGCTTACAACGCGATGATAGTATAGAACGCAAAGTGTTCAAAAAGGTAAACGATGTTTATCGCTACCTATTTATATCGTAAAACGTACGATCTATTGTTGAACCGTGTTCTTACTCGACAGTGACATAGAATGTGTATGACTATTTATCGTCATAAATACAACTTTGCGATATTTAATTGAGTCTGTATCAGAGGTGTGATATGAAGTATGTGTCGTAATGTGTACCTAGTAATGTGTAGTAGGGAAATAAAAAACATCAATTGAAATAAAACCATATTATTTATTTATCATAAAACATGGGTTTGTTGGGGAACAAAACATCTGCAGAACGGACAAACTCCTGCAGTTTCTGCCACTGAGGAGAGTCTAAGTCGGCCTGGAGTTTGATACGTACGATTGCCTTCTTCCACAGCTCCAGCGAGTCGGTGTTGCGCGCGTCGTTAGCTCGGTACACCTTGCAGTCGATGTAGTACTCGCCATGGGTGCTCGCTATTCGTCGCTCGCACCCGTTAGCCACTCGGTACACGAACAGCGACGACAGGCATGCTCGATCTGTTGATCCCTCTCCGACTTCCGCGCCTGTCTCGTGATCCTGGCTGATACCGAATATATCGCTATCACTCGTAGTTTTTTTACTGAAAAAACAAAACAAACTTTTGTTAATTTACTAATTACAAACCTGAAAATATAGACTAGAATTATTATTGGTATTCATTAGACTTATCGCTTAAATAATAATTCGTTAAGAAATACCTACATAATGCTGCTCTAATTTTGTAAGTAGTAAAAGTAGCGATAACCATCATTAATCTCATGAGACAAACAAATGAAACATGTAAAACAATATGCAATTTACCTGGGACGGGTTGATTTGATGTGCGTTTTCTATTGTTTTCTGTAGCCTTACGACCAGTTTTCGATTTCGGTTCAATAGTTGGTGGTGTTTGATAGTATGAACCCTCAGAATCGGACCTGAAACAAGATGTTGGTACAACCGTTAATATAAAATAAATTAATAAGTACGCCGGCCGTGGTGCTGGAGATTACAGTCAAACGAGGTTTTGAATATTATATACTTACATTTTTTCCTTGATTTGTTTTAACTTACTCAACTTCAAGTCGATAGCAGAGGTAGCAGGCACGATGATTTTCTTTAACTGCTGTTAGCGACGGCGGTTGACGACACTGACTGTACTGACTGAGTACAACCATTAACCGATCGCGGATCACGAGTGCGACTGAAGCCCGGAGTCGCAAGTTACTATTACTTAGTTCACTTGGAAGAATTGTAATGATCATAATGAATAATGCAGTGACTTATAAGGCTGGAAATGCCTAACATGAAAAGTAACTTAAATTCTTTAAGTTTCAACGTGTTGTGGAACGTTTTTGTTTAGTTGTATTATAGACGGTCAAAAATACAAACTAAGGTAAACTAAAGTAGAATCAATTGCTGATGCATCAAAAACACTTAGGGTTTACACAACGTTTTTTACAATTTTCATAACGGTTATTATATAAGCAGCGCAGTGACAGCCCTGTATAAAATAGCTGATTAATGAAGTTGCATCGTTGCATGCACGTGTGCATATTTCGCAATGGTATCGGAAACGCTGAAAGTTGATCTATAGTAGTATTATTACGAAACGTTGACGTTGTGGAATATTCCAGAAACAAAAAAAGTTTTATTTCTGTGGACAAATATTTCTTCTAAATATGTATCATTTCAAGTTGAATACTGAAATCACGAGCATTAAACAGGTAATTATTATTTAAATATTTATTTTCGATAATAATATTATATTTATCGTCTCGTATATGATACTTATCGTCAATTTGTGATTTAAATTATAATATTTTCACTTTTTTTTCAGCTACACAAGAATCACAACTTACAATTATATAATTATGATCAGATTGAAGATTTATACGTAAGAAAAATATATCCAGCTACATAATTTAAAACTGATAACTGTGGACATTAAACATCGGGACTTAAACATAAGGATACATAATTCTTAGGTAAATATATTCAGAACCGTTAACTATAAGATTTTGTTAATTTATTAATCCAAGTACATGTCTAATAAATCTTTACATTTGTCTTTCCAGAATATGGATGTATACAATAAGTTCAAAACAGACAAAACCACAAATGAGGAACGGGAGCTACAACTGATCAAGATTTTCATTTATGGTGGTGATTCTAATGCAATTTTGAAGCTGTAAATCTATACGAAAGGTACATAATATATTTATGCAGAATATATTATTTATATACGATTTAATATCGATACTTATGTCTAAACGTTGAAATAACTATTAATCTTTGCCTATCAATACTAAGTGATTTGTGCATTCAATTACAATGCCTTACTGCACAGAGTGTCATGTATCTGTAGATAATCGTCTGTGGTCTGGTCATTTACGAAGTAATAAACATAAAAATAATAGCGTAGCTCCTTTTAGTAGTAATGTAAAAATAATTAAGTCATCATTCAAAGGACGTATTGTAAGTTATAGGATTATTGCAACTGAGGAGTTAGCCCATCAATTCCCAGAGAGATATTTATTACAAATCCGAGAACAAGTCAAAGATCTAATAGACCTGGCACTAAAAAGACATACATCTGTTAAAGTTAACTTTGAACTATTTTTGTTTTTCTATTGTTCAAAAACGATCAGCAAGAAATTAAATCATTTGCTACAAAAAATTTTATTATTAATTTAAATTACGAATTCGATACAATTTACAAAACAGCAATTTCATTACTTCTTAAAAAAATAGAAGAGTTTCAAGAAAGAGATAGCGGCTGGTCATTTTTGAATAACTCCTATTTTGAAATAAATATTAATAAATATCAGCCTCTCAGTGGATCCAAATTTATTCCTTTACCAAATTTTATAAAAAATAAAAAAGCTTGCTTGAATATTAAGAACAACGATAACTATTGTTTTCTATGGTGTGTTGTGGCTGCCTTGTATCCTGCAACCAAACATGCTGATAGAGTTTCATCATATCCTCGTTTTAAAGATGTTTTAAATGTTAATGATTTGTCATTTCCTATCAAATTCACGGACATAGCCAATTTTGAAAAAAATAATCGCCATATAAATATTTATGTGTATGGTTTGAAAAATAATAAGACCGTTGTAGGACCATTATATAAAACTAATAATAAAAAATCTAGAAGCATCCACTTATTGTATTTAGAAAATGATACAAATTCCCATTACTGTCTTATTAAGAATTTACCCCGTTTAGTTCGAACTCAAATTTCTAAACATCATGGTAAATTATACTATTGTGAATCTTGTTTATTGTTTTTTTCTACGCTTAGTCAACTTGAAACACATCTGTGTGGAGGGGTTGTCACAATTTTGCCAGATAAGGGATCAGTACTAATGTTTAAAAATTTTCAAAGAAAACAAGACATTCCTTTCGTTATTTATGCCGATTTCGAAACACTGCTAGTACCGATTTCCAGCAATGAATTTGACACTGTTAATACAACATATAACCAGCGACACGTGCCAGCCGCTTTTGGTTATAACATAGTATCTTCTTTTAATGATAATGATAATAAAAGATATAGAAGTTATCGCGGTGAGGATTGTGTTGCAAAATTTATAGAGTTTCTTACTCAGGATGTAATTGAAATATATAAATTACTAACTAAGAATAATCCTATAATATTCACTGATAAAGATGTTAAGGATTTTAGGAATTCAATTAAGTGTACCATATGTGAAAACTTGTTGTTGTCTGACAGAGTGAGAGATCACTGTCCCATCACAGGCAAGTACCGCGGTGCAGCTCATCGACATTGTAACCTACAACATAGAGTACCTAAATTCATACCAATATTTTTTCATAACTTATCAGGATATGATTGTCATTTATTTGTGAAAAAATTAGGTGAAATACCTGGTCAAATAAAAATAATACCCAAGACCAAAGAAAAATATATATCATTTTCAAAGTTTATTCCCGTAGCAAATAATGAATACGTACAATTAAGATTTTTGGATTCTTTTAATTTTTTAGGAACCAGTTTAGACAGACTTGCTAAAACAATGCAGATAGAAGACTTTATTAATCTTAGATTACATTTTTCTGATAACAAACACTTTAGTTTGCTAACACGAAAAGGTATTTATCCATACGATTATATGACAAATTGGAAATGTTACGAACAACAGACGCTACCGTTGAAGTGTTACTTCCACAATTCTTTGACGAATGAAGACATTAGCGATGATGATTATAACCATGCTAAAACTGTCTGGAATTGTTTTAATATAAATAATTTAGGAGAATATACTGATCTGTACTTAAAAACAGATGTACTTTTACTAACAGATATATTTCAGAATTTTAGAAAAACTTGTAAACAATATTATAAACTTGACCCTGCATTTTATATAACAACTCCTAGTTTATCTTTCGATGCGATGTTACTTAAAACAGGCGTTCAATTAGAACTGTTGACAGATTTGGCAATTGTTAAAATGATTCAGGATGGTATCAGAGGAGGTTTGTGTATGTGCTCGCATCGGTATGCAAGAGCCAATCATAAATATATGCCTGAATATAATTCTGTAAAGCCAGATTGTTTCATAGCGTATCTAGACTGTAATAATTTATATGGTTATAGTATGTGTCAGTATTTACCACATTCTAATTTTAGATTTCTTAATGAAGACGAATTAATTCATTTTCGCGTTCAGAATATTGAAGATAATGCCGAATGGGGCTACATTTTAGAAGTTGATCTTTTATATCCTGATCATTTACACAATTATCATAATGACTTGCCTTTTTGTCCTGAAAAATGCATTCCTCCGGGTGGCAAAACAAAAAAACTTATCGCAAATTTATATAATAAATACAATTATGTTATACATTACGTTCATTTAAAAAAGTGTCTAGAACATGGTTTGATATTACGTAAGATTCACAGAGTTATTACTTTTAAACAAAGTCCTTATCTCAAAGAGTATATAGAACTAAACACTCAATTACGACAGAAGGCGAAAAGTACATTCGAGCAAGACTTTTTTAAATTGTTAAACAACAGTGTCTTTGGTAAAACGTTAGAAAATACTGAAAAGAGAGTCACCGTACATTTAGTTAATCAGTGGAGTGATAAAACAAATAAAACCAACAAATCAATATCCGCTGAGAGGCTTATAGCTAATCCTTATTTTCATAGTTCAACAATATTGACTGAAAATTTAGTTGCTATACAAATGAAACCAGATCAAATAATCTTAGATAAACCTATTTACATAGGTTTCACAGTCCTAGACCTTTCTAAGTCGCATATGTATAATTTTCATTACAATGTAATTAAACCTTTTTATCATGATCAAGTACGTCTATGTTATACAGATACCGATTCTTTTGTGTATGAAATATATACCAACGATTTTTATTGTGATTTGAAGTATCATTTTTTGCAATACTTTGATAGCAGTAACTATGATAATGAGAACGAATTTGCAATACCGCTAATCAATAAAAAAATTCCAGGTCTTTTTAAAGATGAAATGGGTGGTAAATATATCTCTGATTTTGTTGGGTTGAGATCAAAACTCTATTCTTTAAAAACTCCAAATACAGTTATCAAAAAAGCAAAGGGAATTAAATCATATGTGTTACGGGACTTAGATATTACAGACTATGAAAGCATTTTATTGGATGGTGGAGTTATTCGAAGAAAAAATATTATGTTTAAATCATTGAAACATGAAATTTTTACCCAAACTGTTAATAAAATTGCATTATCTAGTAACGATGATAAACGAATAATTTTGAAAGATAAAATAGAAACGAAAGCCTGGGGTCACTCATGTATGATGGGAAAGCAATAATGAAATACGTATTGTACAATGATTATATTATTGTTAATTTCTTTAAAGTATATAGGTAATATTAAATAACGCATTAATTGTATTAGTGTTAATTAGCATTACGTATATTATTTAGCTTTAGTTTTTAGAATAAGGAATTTTATGGTTTTATTGTAATAAATGTATGAATCACATGAGTTTACTTCTTTTATTTGTTATCATTTATTTAATTAACCTTTATTTATTTAAAATGTGAAAGCAACTTTGGCATGAGGTTAAAAATCGAAAATGAAGTTTTTAGGGATTCGAACCCATGACCTTCTGCATAGAAGTCCGTCAATATCGCCACTGTACCATCGTAGATAATTAATCAAGTTTTGTGTAGTAACAAGTTTATACATGTAGCTCAAATGTAATACGACACTGCACACCGTCACGTTCATTGTCCACAACATCGATCAAAAATGCATAGTTTACATTTTTAGGTGTCGCAATGCAACCTACATTTTATTGCGCGATGATTATTAAATTATTTACATACTACTTTATTCACGTGGGTCTGCTAGCTAACGATACTTACAAAAAGTTACCTCCATTTATATTCTTTGTACCTTCAATGTTCCAGCCCCAAGCATTGGATATTTTTGATTCACTCTCATTCATCGAAATTAATGACTTCATGGTGGTAGTAATGCCAGCATTTTTTATTTTATCAATCTCTACTCCATTCAACTCGTACCTTATATCTTGAAATAAGTAAAGGAGAGCATTATTCGTAAATTGAACGCTAGAAGTCTTGTCTTTTGAGTCCTTTTTGCTAACAATTACAGTTCCTTCCAAATACAGAGTGCTAGCAGATGGTAGTACATATAGATCCTGTTGGTTGATGGGTATGCGAATTTCATCGTTTCTATTAAAACTTGTCACGTAGGGTTTGTAGGAGTGAAATTCGATTCCTTCAACTGTGTTGTCGTAAGTCGGAGCGGATAATACGTCTAAAATATTCATTTTAACAAACCTATAGCTTTCAGGAATGCCTTATTATTATCGGTTAATTTAATTTTTTTATTTGAGCGAGCTCTTATTTTCTTGGTTGCTAAATTGGCACTGATATTTTTGAACTGAGGTTGCTCATATTTATTGTAGTCAATCATTTTTTCGTCTAAGATGTAAATATAGTTGTACTTCTTCACCACGTAAATTTATTAGACGATTGTTAATATCTAACAGTCTGATATGTATACAGCTTATGTTGTTTTGATTGATTGGAAAGTATATTGCGTTCTTTGGAATTTCTATGATCCTATATCCAGGTGGCACATTGAGTGCAAATTCATGAATAATGTGACTCGGTTCTCCGTTTATGTAGGATCCGCTTATGATATCACATTCAACCCTGACCACGGTCGTAGGTAAAATGTTGACGGGAAACTGTGACACATGCCATTTATTACCTTTTAATATCTGCTTATCAAAACCAAGCAAATGTCTAAAGGTATTTTCTTTTTCAAAATTGATGTCTTTCGTACAGTGTATAGTAGTTTTTAAAGTATTGTTATTGCAATGTAGTTTAATTGATGCACCTTTTATCTCAGATTTTAAATAATCACTAATATCTTGCAATTCATAGGTTCCCTCCGGTATTTCAATGATTTCGGAACCACAGTAAAACTTGTTATTCGTAACATCAATGTTTGGAATAGAATTAAATGTTGAGAAATGCAATAATGCACACTCATACTGTCCATTTAGTTGTAACGTATTAGGATAGTACGTAGACAAGGTGGACGAGTTTCCGGTTATCGATAAAGTGAGTGACATCTTGTAAATGATTGAAATGAAAGAAACACATTAATTTTATACGTCTTTATTCCAAAATTCCCATAGATATTCTAAACATAAGTGACCACAATTTACTGTGTTAAACTTTTGATATCTTGTATAGTTGTAATAAACAGCACAATTTTTAAAATATCGCATTAATTCGTTTGGAGGTTTCAAGTCACCATAACTATCAAAGTATTCACAATAGTCGGCTACTTTAACATAAGCTACCCAATGCGTTCCTTCATTTTTAGAGTCATCCAAGTTAACAATACCACATTCAATCTGTTTTGGTTTTTTTGGTAATTGGTCCTTCATGAATACTCCTCGAAAGTGTGGGATGTCTCGTGCATGTTCTTGGATGTCGATATTAGTCAGTGGGCGATTAGGTAGCTTCTTTATCAGTTTTTTTGATGTTCTATGAATAATCCTTTACCATTTTTATGCGGTTTAATGTATAAACCCTTACCCAATGCTAAAGCCTCCATAGTCTTATTATGACGTTCTGTTTCTCGCAAATTTTGTTGAGCTGCTTTGTAATCATTAACGGTTTTAGCAATACCCGCTGCACCACCAGCCAGAGTGCCCAAAGCTGATAAGCCAGCAAAGATTGGAATTAAAGGCAAAATACCTCCAGTTTTCGGTATGGGTATGATGCGAGGTACTCGAATTTTCTGAATTTTTGGATATATCTTTTTTGCTGCTAAGTAAGCAGCATTAATTAAAGCTTTACTATCTTTGTGTTTAATTTTCTTAATTTTTGATTTAATTTTTGATATAAAACTGTGAAACGTTTTAACTCCGGCACCTGACTTTAGTTTGGCTTTCATGACTTTGCTTACTAGCCATGAACTAAGTTTTTCACCTTTCCCAGCATCCTTTGATTTAAGTCTTTGTTTTGCCATATTCATTAGTTGTAAATCAGCTTTATGACGATGAGATAAGTCTGTGTGGTTAGCGTATGCAATGTCGTGGTGCATACAAGCTTCATCCAACTTATTAATACCTCGATCACCGCGTAATAACCGTTTCTGGAGTTTTGTTCCTGGTCCGCAATAATTATAACCAGGCAAATGAAGCTCGAATGGTAAATTTTCTATTAAACTATTAACTAGTCCACCACCTTGCATTGTACAAAGCGCAATGGATGAATGTTCAAAAAGAATTGATTATATACTTAATAACTCAATCCAATAAGGCAGCTTTGTCAATCCAACTATTTTCGTTATTGCTAAGACCCAACCATTTCACGTAAAGTTTTCTTCCTTTCTTTTTTAAAATTTTCTCTATCAAATAAACACCAGGATAGTTAGATTTTTGAAGTTCTTGTTCATAAAAGGTTCCTAATATAGCTTGTTTACGTTGATCTTGTATATGATATGTCACCGGTATTGTATTATTAATCTTTTTTACAGTAAAAAGTTCTGTTGACCAATTAGGAGTATAACCTTTCTCAAAATTGTGTTTGTATTTGCTGATACGAACATAATCACCAATTTTAAACTTAGGTTTACATGGAGCAGATACATGTTTATGTGCTTTTAAAATATTTTCTTTTATTACTCGCTCATTAGACTTGTTTACATCGATTGGTTTTAATTTAATAGTTCGATGTTTTGTGTTGTTATACGATTCCAGGGTAAGTTCTAATGGTTTACCCAACCACTTATAGTTTCCATTAAAGTTAAAATATTTGTACAATTTATTTTTTATAGTTTTAATTAGTCGCTCAACAATTGATGCCTTTTTGCTAGAAAACGAAGAGTAATGGTTAATCTTATATGTTTTCATAAGCGTTTGAAATGTGTTATTATAAAACTCTGTTCCCATATCAGTTTGTAAGTTTTCAGGCTTTCGATGACTCTTAAGTAATATTCGTTCAAATGCATGAGTCACATCAAGTTTATTTTTTGATTTCAACGGCTGCGTCCAAGCATATTTTGAGAAGCAATCGATTACAATTAAAATGTAATTATAGCCTCCGTTATATTTCTTTAGATTTTGCATGTCCATCAGATCAGCTTGCCACAGATCGTCGATACTTTTTAAAACAACAGAACGCCGAAGGAAATTTCTTCGTGCAGTTTTGTGTATTTCATTTACAATTTGCTGTTTTGACATGGTTTACAGTTTTTTAAGCAATTTGTCAACATCTACTTTGGTATAAAACTTATCTTCCAAATGAATTAAAGCCTCAGATGTCTTAGCTTTTAAAGTAGCTTGAACTGTCTTTTGTGCATCTAGCATGAGCTGAGAACGTAATGCACCAATTAGTTTATTCAATTCATGTATCGTATTAGCATTTAAACGATCTACGTAATCTTTGTTTACGGCGTCGTCTCCATCCACAGGAGATCGGATCCCCTTGAGTCTTGTTGATTTCAAATCAAAATCCCCGCTTTCTGATTTTAACAACGCGTTATCATTAAATTCAAATAAATCTGATAAACGCAATCTTTTGTGAATAAAATGACCAAATTTATCTACATTCATCTTTAAAGGTGTATTGTTTTGAAAGGTCGACAGTAAAATGAAACACAGATGTTTTATGTATTTATTATATTACTTTCACGTAATTCCTCTATTATGGATATGATTTCGTTGTTTACCCCTGTGTTACCAGCATCTTGAGATGCAATTAACAATTTTAGTCGATCAACTAATTCATTAGGATCATCCCAATATATAAAATCTACATTCTTCTTCCACATTTTTGTTAAGGGTAATCCTTTCCCTTTGGATTGTAAAAATAGCGGTTTAATAATTTGTAAATATTTTTGACCTTTATTACTTTTTATCGGTTTACTTGGATCATAATCTCGACGATGTGCATTTGTATCAAGTAGCATTGATTTATAATGTTGCATATCACTCTCTGTAACCAAACTCAAATCTGCATTCTTTTTCAGTAGCAACTGTTTCAATCCAGGCGTACATCGATACTTGCGGTGTGCCACTATGATATATTCGTCATTGACAATTATGTGAGCGGCACCCAACATCAACTTCCCACGCTCGTATCTGACACCAAATGGAATATCTGCTAACGCTTCTGGAGAAACTGACCAGGATGTTGTGTTACAATCTTGTTTCTTTTCAACCAGTGATTTATATGAGGAGTCACTGTCAACCTCAGAGTCATAATCGTCTGTATCATTGCTTTCTTTCTCACTGAGAACTTCTTTCCTCAAAGTATTATCAATATATGGAACTTCGATGTCTTCATCTTCAATATTTTGTGGAGCAGATTGTTTGGTGACATTGGCAATTAAATTTAAGGGATCTGTTACAGGCTTGAAAACTGATTCCAGCGCTTCTTTATTGTTTATTTCAATATCCTTCATTTTACGTACTTTTTTCTTCACGGCTTCTGTCGCTTCAACAATTTGTCTTTTTAAAGATTTTTCCATATTGTTTAAATAGATCGTGATTGATTAAGTATTCCAAGTAGAATAATTAGAAACACTAAGGTAACGGATTTAAATAGCAATTTAATCAAAAACTACAAAGGTGTCAAATTTATTTCTATAACAGCCTTTATTTTTAGAGCAATCTTTATTAATGACAACAAAATTAAAGGGATCGTTCCATATTTTTGAACACATTTCACGAAATTCAACCCATGACATATCAGTGTTGACATGTTCTTCGTATATGTGCTTCAAATTAATTTCATCTTGTTTAAAAAGTATGATCAAATTGGCATTGTCTCTTATTAATTGTTTAGGAATTTTGCTATACGTTTGATTTAAATAAAAACAATCGATAAATTTATGTCTTCCCATTGCAAAGTAATCACGCATGTTGTTTTGATTTTCACAAGCAACATCATCAAATATAATCACAGAGTCAGGTTTTGCGTCCTGAACTCTTAGTATTTCTTCGTGTTCCTGATATTTTTGAAACGAAATACCTGGTACGCGTCGTAATACTTTTTCTAAAAATATGTACTTGGGTTGGTACAAGGTTTTTGAATAAATATAAACATTTCGAAATCTTAAACCATTTTCGTGTATAAGTAGACTAATGAGTAAATTTGTTTTTCCACAATTTGACGGTCCGCAAATTATACAGCGTACTGAATTAGGTAATAATTTACTGTGACGGAAATCAGTTTTACAAAATTCATCACATATTATGTTAATATTCAACGATTGTGGTTGTTTTACAAATTTCATGCTTACTGTGTGAAACAGTTCGAATAACAATGACAAATATTTTTTGTATGTTAATATTTATAAACCGTACGACTATGTATGTTGCGTTACTAGCATTAACCGAATCGACCGTTGACGATTGAGCATTCTGGACCATATCGATTATTGGGCGTTCTATACCACTATCGGCAGCGAGGCGCACTCGCCGAGCGACTTGCCGATAGTGGTATAGAATGCCCAATAATATACTACTCACAGAGCCACCCAGCTGTGTACTGTGTTGCCAATCCGGCCACCCAGCAAACTACCGGGGATGCTCCAAAGCTCCCAAATCGTCGGCGCCCAAGCCGGTGAAGCGAGCCATCGCCCACCAAGTAAGGGAATGCCCCCAAACCCCCCAACGCCCAAGTCCCTGGAGCATCTTAAACACCCAGCGTCATTTCCCGGCGCTGAGAACGGTCCAACAACCGGCCATCCCCGGACTGATGGAACGCCCCATCCCTCCCCCGCCCAGGCCCCTCAGGCCTTCCCGGGGCTCATGGACCGTCCCATGTTCCCCCCGCAGGCCCCTCAGGCCATTCCATCCCAGCCTTCGGCCCCGCTACCCCCCGCACAACGTGCCCCGGTCACCCCTGCCCAAGGGATCGACTTCAATCCCTTTGAAATCATCTCAAGCACCTTCTGTGCTTTCTACACCCCCCGGGCTATCCAACTAGCCACCGAACTGAAGGCCTGCAGAGGCAACCTCCAAGCCATTCGGCAGGTGTACGACAAGTACCCTGACGTCCACGCCGCCATTAGGTCCCTCCAATCCCACAATTAATTATGGATAGGAACACG